TTTTTTTTTTTTTTTTTTAAATAGAAGCGACGTGAATAGTTAGCAAATGCCAGAGGGTCGCTCTCCCAAGCAACCCCCGTGGATGGACTATTTCCTTCGTTCCTTTTTTTAACACCGGGCGTGTGTGTGGAGGGGCTGGACTCCTGTTTGCGCTAAGGACCTTCAGGTTTGCCTCGCCATTTCGTTTCCTTCCCCTCGCTAAGCTTTGGACGCTAGAAGGAGTGAAGTGACCGAATCTCACATTGCTAGAAAACAGAGCTCTTTGGGCGGCTTTTTATTGGGGGTGCTTTACAGTTTATTTTTTTTAAAACTCCTAAAAACATCACTGAAAGCGGTAAGTTGGCGTTTAAGGAAAAGTTAAATAAGTAAAGCAGATTGGCAGAAGGAACGCGCAGAAAAAGAAAAGGAGTTTGAAAAAAAAAAAGCCTCATGTGCAAATACTTTGGGGTCGCAAGCTCCCGGCTACCTGGGTTCTCTGCTTGGACAGACTCTCCGGGCTAGCCCTGCAACCCCCCTCCAGGAGATGAGCTTTCAATGCAAAACAGAGCACAAAAACCTCCTCGAAACTTCGGCGCGAGTTCTGTCTCCCACTGCCGAACCCATATCGCCTTTCACTGCCCGGAGCCCGCACTCCGGCGCGGAAGTGGGCGCCGTGCAGAAGTCGTGACCCTCGGGGAACCCCCCGGCGCAGCGTCCAGGCCCTAGAGAAACACCCTGGGGCGGGACAGCAGCGGTGCAGCCGGGCCCCCTCCCGCAACGAGGCCAGCGTAGACAGCCCAGCCGTCGTTCCCGGGCCGCGCGTGGAAAGTACAAAGGCGGCGACAGGGCGGCGGCGGGAGGCAGGGGGAGGGGGCGGCAAGGAGCCCGCCCTGCAGTCCGGCCCGCGCCCCGGCCACCGTAACAAAAGAGCCCGAGCGGCGAGCTAGGTGCCGTGTTCCGGAGCTGCGTTACCTGGTCGCCAAGTGTTAAGCGGTGCTGTCAGCCCCAAGTTCATGGTTCGAGTCCGTGGCTGGGCTCACGCTGGGGAGGCCATCAGCGACCGGCGCGCACGACGAGAAAATGCCCAACTCCGATGGGCTCCAGCGGCCGTCTCTCCGCTTTCCTGGACCAAAGTCGGAGCGCGGGTCCACGCGGGCCAAATCCGGCGCAGAACCGTTTCCCCAGGCGCCGCGGCGCACGCCTCCAGCGCCGCTGAGCCGGGAAGCAGCGGCGGGCCGCCGCCGCGGCGCGCGGAACTAAGAGCAAAGCGGCAGCGGCGGCGGCGACAGGACAAAGGAGACCATGTGCGGAGGGCGGGAGGAGGGCGCGCGAGGAGGAGGGC